TATATACACATACATTCGAATCCGAGAAGGTATGACTTCAACGGGGAAATTGAGGAAATTAAAAGTGGAAAAGCGAATTTCACCGCAAAACGAAGTAACAAAATAATAATAATAATAATAATAATAAAAAAAAAGGTGTATATGATTTGTAGGGACTGTACAAAGTATTTCTCACCTGAGTTGTTCTCGTTACCGATCTCCGAGTGTCAATGATGATGCGCGTCTTATCGATCGTTTCGCACGTGCACAAACACTTTGTCGCCGATCGGACGTGGATCGGTAACGGAAAACATATTGTAATATATATAAAAAGAAATATTCAATAACAGTGGTACGGGTAAGTACCGAGTGTTTGATGAAAATCGTTGTTCCGGTAACCGGGCCGCGGAGGATGTATATTTATACAGTTGTGTACACCTGAGCCGGTCAGACCGACTCGGTCATCAAGACGCGACTGATTGTAAGTTTATACCTACGGGAGAGCAAAGTGTGTATATAGTTTTACCCCGAGAGAGTCGGAGATCGACGGAGGAGTCGCAGTTATGTGTGTATGTGCGCGCGTAGGCGAGACACACTTGCCATGATGCATCGTATGGGTATTATATATTATAAGCATGCGTGTCCGCCAGGCATACGTTATATTATATCCCTGCATTGTGTTTCTCTCAAGGTATATAATAAGGGCAGATCAGTTGCGTGTTCGGTTGTTTGAGAAATAAGTACATGAAAAACGGACGGGCCAAACGGGACATTTTGAAACAAAAAACAATATTGAGGAGTTTAAGTAAATTGGAAAAAATCGGTTAATCGGTATTGAAGCGAAACTTTGACTCATGGTTTTGTAAGTAGTACTTGGTGATGGAGCTGTGTTCTACCTCGTCGAGATTTCATGTTTTAACTTTTCAATTGAATCAAGCGAATGACAATATTTTACCTCTCGTACGCGTGATTTCTTTCTCTTTCTGTGTGATGTGAACTTTTTTTTTTTTTCTTGTCTTTAAATTGCTTAACTAGTGGGTTTTATATACATTCGGCTACTTGACTCCTGCACTTGATGTATCCGATTTCATGATCGTATTTCCTCTCATTTTCCTCTTAGCTGTACAAAATAATGTTTCATTTGATGAGATTTGTTTGAAAATTTTATGAAAAATCATTCATTATGATGTGATTCTGGAAAAAGTCAAAAATAATTCTTTTGCGCGCTTTTCGATATTTATTTTTTATTTTTTTTTCCTCAATAAAACTGCAATGGACATATTTATTAGGTTTAGGGTATGCCTTTTTTTTTTTTTTTTTTTTTTTTTTCCAGGAAGACTTGTTTTTTTTTTTTTTTTTTTTTTTTTTTTTTTTTCCCAAGGATTATTGATTTGATAGTAAAAAATTGAAGCAATAATCTTTACTGTTAAAATTAAACAACTGTTTCCTTTTTCGCCAACTTGCATCAGATTTTACTGAGCAGAATGGTAATTTTTGCTGGAATTTCTCTATTTATATTTCTATTATATTTTTTTCCCTCGTCGTAAGTATCATGTAAAATAATCTTTGCTTCGACACTTGCCCGAACGAACGTCAGCGTGTGGATGAACAATATGACACACACACACACACGAGACGAGGTGAGAGAAGGAAAGATCAGTGCTCGCTCCTATACTTACGGCTTACTCTCCTTTTCGAGAGCGACATGCACGTGTATACTATATATATAATATATAATAATACACTCGTTCCGAAAGCCGGCTGTACATAAGTAGGTATTACGCGCAACGAAAGTTTGAGCTTTGTTTTTTCGCCAAGTGTGTAGCTGTCGACGGGTTTCGCACAGGTCTCGGGACCCCAATTTTTCGCCTTTTCAGCGCAAAAGGTGCCGCGTGCCATGTTTGCGTTTGCCCAGTTAACAATAATGAGTACAACAATAACGTTATACAAATGGGTAGGTATATAATATAGTATATATATTATATATGTATACATTGTAACGAGCGAGGATGCGCGAGTATTTATTGTATTGCGTAATGTAATATTATGCGACGCTTCTTTTTTTTTTTCTTCGTAATCCCGCGTAACCTCGTCGGGGCTTCCGGTTAATAATCATTGGTTCGCTCGCAATGTAGAAAAAACTTTAAAAAAATAATAAAAAAGCGTTCGTGGACAAAGACTGATCCGGAAAAGAGAAAAGGGGGGGGGGGGAACGACGATGAGCGAGCGAGTGCCGGTAGAGCGTGTAAAAAAGCCTTTGGGAAGAAGGTGGAGGGTCGCGAAAACCGAGGAAAAACCCCTTGATTGCGACTATTACCACGGCCTCGAGACGGAGACGAGGAGGATACCAAAAATCCCAAAAGGTCCTGCTGTGCGGGGCATCGGCAAAAAAAAAAACCTCCACACCCTCGTTGGTCTTTTGGTTCGCGGCGAGACACACCCCCCGACAGTTTGTCTAACTCTGATCTCTTTTCGCGAGTGCGGTTATCAAAATAAGGTCCGCGCTAATTGACAGCTAAGCGTATACGCTTGGAGAAAATTGAATCGAGAAAAAGAAGAAAAAACATGTATACTACTATGTATACAAATGTACGTATACGTTAACGCGCGCTCAATTCTAATGAATTCGTTACGCGCGCGCTCGAGGATGGGAAAAAGAAAAATTTAATAATTACACCTGCATGCACCCGATGATAGGTATACGATATACTTAAATAAGTATATCAGCGGAGAGTCGGAGAGAAAGTTCGGGTGTTGGTGTGTGATGTAAAGATTGCGGGGAGTAATGTGACCACCACGTGTTCATGTAAAAATGCACGTGCATCTCGCGTGCATCGGTATAAATATAATTATAATGATTTTTACGATACTGTGTATGTATATATTATAACACTTACAAGCGAGTGAAATGTTGTTGAACGCGCGGATCGCTTTAATGATAACACGCGATCGTTAATTGTATACACAAGTATATATCAACGGCCGAGCAGCGGAAAGAAAAAAACCTCCAACTACAGCTCGTTGGGAAAAAAAATGAAAACTAATCAAAATTTAAATTTAGCATTGGCGATGAAAGATTTTTTTTTTTTTTTTAAATGAATTTAAAAAAAATTTAAATTTAGCATTGGCGATGAAAGATTTTTTTTTTTTTTTTTAAATGAATTTAAAAAAAATGTGGAGCAGCCCGAGATACGATAAACGTTGAACACGATCGAGTTGTGGCTCAAGAGTGTCGTATTGCGGTTTTCCGTAAAAAAAAAAAAAAAAAAAAAAGGTGGACAATGCGTTGTGATCTTTCGCAATGACGGGGTCTTGCATCAGCTACGAGGAGCTGCTCGAGCAAGTGCGGAGGCTCACCAGCGAGACGATTTTTCTCCAAGAGCAAGTGCNATTCTTAAAAATAAAAAAAAATTTTTTTTTTTTTTTTTAAATGAATTTAAAAAAAATGTGGAGCAGCCCGAGATACGATAAACGTTGTATATACCTACATCCTGCGTAATATATATATATAAAATGTATACACGCACACAAACACCCACGTGTGTTTGTAAGTAATCAATGAAATCGTCGCGTGGGGCTTCGGTTGCAGTACCAGCATCAGTACCAGCGTCAGCAGCATCAGGAGCTGCGAGCTGCGGAACGAGAGCGCGGCTCTCCGGATAGGATGATGCCCCAAGAAGGAGGAGGAGGAGGCTGCGGTAGACCGGCTACCGTCATCCCCACGGGCGTCATCTCCGCGGTCAATTTGCGACAACCTGCTACGGAAGTACCGGACAAACAACGCTGCGGCTACTTATCCGATGCTCTTGAATCTCCACAGGTGAGTTTTTTTTTTTTTTTCCATCGAATATATAATAAACGATCGTAAGGTCATCCTCATAATATTGTTCATTTGGATGTCGGTATACGTACACCCACACGCGTAACTTTCGTGAATTTCAACCAACCTGTTTTCAACTTTTTTTTTTATTTCTTTTCTTTTCTTTTCTTTTGTATCATCAATAACAATAGAGACAGAGATATGGTGTTTTACGCGTACGCGCGCACACATAATGTGTTATGTTGGCCGTCGTCGTCGTCGTCGTCGTCGTGCTTTAAAATATCAAATAAGTTTATGCGCACCGCGGATTATTAGTGTCCCTCTCCTCCAAAATTATGTGGTAGGGTTTTATATATACTTCATTGTACTTACCCGCATATATACTTACTCTCTGAGTGCAGCTGATAGAGTACGAAACAAATTTAACACCCTCATATCGCGGGGACTAATTGAATATGCACTTGTCGTGCTTACTGTGTATATACACGTGTACACCTATAACACACGTTATATACGTTGAAAATATACAAAAATATAGTGACCTTGAATGCTTTAAAGCAGGATATTGTGTATGTAATTATACCTACGATGTTTGGCCTTAAGCTATATGTATATACAATTGTTAATGGTATTCGTGTAAAATGTTAGTTTGCATATTCAAGGGATAAGATGATATATATTTTTACAAGCTTGATGTTGATGATGCATTACTTACAATTTTAGTCGAATTGGTGGTACCTACTTATTGATTTTTCGTCGTCCCGGTGGCAGAGGGTGTGCATATGTATATAGGGAGCGACCCTCCTCGTAGCATGTATATATATTTTTGCAGCCTTAATAACCCGATATACCCACCCCCTCTAACCACCCCTAGCCGCGCCTTACAGTGATATATATGTATATTGTATACGTACGCGCGTTAGACGAGCGCACAGTAGTTAACTTGGGTATATAATAATAGTAATATGCAGCACTTAAGTAACGAGAGTCTCTCTCTTCTGACTCTTCAAGTACTTACCTATTTTTATTTTATGGAAATATACACACAAGTATACATATACTTATAGTGAGTTTGTACAGCGCAAAGAGAGCGCGTGCAGTCTAGATTTTATATGAAGAGAAAGGAAGAAAGAGAAAGAGAGAGAGAGAGCGCAAAAAGGAGGTGTGCATCATCGTGCATGTGGTAGCGAGGAGAGTGGCGAGTTTGCTTGGAGTGTCCTATAATACGGTGAATCATACTTATTTGTTTTGTTTATTATTTAATATAGGTAATTATTGTTTTAAACAAGTTTATGTGGGCATAGGCTGTAGATGTTTACCGCGCGACAGTACACAGCTGTAGATCAAAAATATCGAGACAGTAAGTACCAAGAAATATGTGAAAAAGAAAGAAATGCTTAAAACTCTGCTTTTTCTCTAGGGAAGCCTGCATAACATGCATGCGTTTATAGGTAATTTTTTCCATCGTCTGGGCTACTTACTTGTGAGCCTTTTATGCCTTTTGTCACTAATGATAAGTCAGTATACTTAATACTTAAAATCAAACAGAATCCTTACAGTGCAGTTTACTTACTTGTACTGTAACTTATATCGCCGTCGTCGTTGTTCGCCGAGTCCGTCCCATTGAATTGCGGCTACCATTTTTTTTATGAACCTAGTCGTGTATAAATAACCCCCAACAGTTGTGTGTGACATGTCAGGCCGCATATACTCAAAGGGCATCGCTTTCCTTTGTCTGTGCTGTTGCTGTCACTGATCCATAAATCCTCTACTTATCGCTCTCTCTTCCCCTGCAGCTGTCACCAGCTGATCGCGATTTTTGGTTTGACACTACGTATACGCCGCGCGTGAATAAGTTTTCTATCGTTCGGTTCTTCAAAACCGTGGTGTTGCACACACCCGCAATTTTACCTTCCTGTTCGCGGTGTAGTCTACGGGTAGGCGTGTACCCTCTCTCGTGTTTACATTAAAGGAAAAATTGTTCGTCCCTTGTGTCCAAAGTTACTTAGTCTTTTCTGGGGAATAATCTTTTCATTGCTTTTCTTTAATCCTGCTGTTACAGTTGCATCAAAACAATGATCAGAGTTGTGACAGAAGCAGCACCAAAGGAGACAATCGTCCAAGTTCTTCTTTGCAACCCCATGCACTGACGCACTTTTATGAATCTTGGCCAACAAAACAGGATCCGTCGTGGCTGTCAAAGTCAAACACAATGCAAAATGTAATTACATTTTTTTCTCCACTGTCACGTGTTTGGTTAACTTAATCATTCAGCAACATTTTTTTTGCAACCCCATCATCAACCATAAAACTGCCTTAAAAATCGGAAATAAAATTTACAGGAGCTGGTTGATCCAATGAGTTTATCGTTGTCTGGCAATAACACGAGCTTTCTCTCTGAAATGGACCAAAGCCAGAGTAGGCTTGGAACTAGAATGGACCAGGTGCACAATCTTCTGAGCACGCTAGGCAATAGCGGCAGCAACAGCGGCGGACAAGAAGATATGAGTGCAACCTTGCTCTCTATGAGCAATTCGGTGGAAAGCTGCATTGTAATGAGGCAGTCTGGCTGCCTTCCTATTCTAATACAGCTAATTCATGCACCTGGACAGGATCCAGACATACGAGAGCGGGCTTCTCGAGCACTTTACAATGTCGTGCACGCTAAAGTCGACGAAAAGTCGCGTAAGCGTGAAATCCGCGTGCTTCGTTTGCTGGAACAGTTGAGGGACTATTGCCAAATGCTGAGAAGCTCCCTGGGAATGAGGGTAGAGTCTCAGGATGAGCTGGAAAGGCACCCAGGTAGTACAATTGCAGCTCTAATGAAACTCTCTTTCGACGAGGCTCATCGGAATGCTATGTGCCTGCTCGGAGCCTTGTACGCCGTCACTGAACTCATTGAGATGGATCATGCGGCGCACGGAAGCGACAGCATCGATCAAAATTGCATTACGTTAAGGCGATACGCCGGCATGGCTTTGACCAATCTGACATTTGGAGATGGCAATAACAAAGCTCTGCTCTGCTCTTTTTGCCAATTCATGAGAGCTTTGGTGATTATAACATATATTTGTTTAAACCTTTTTTTCACTTTACTACAAGGCGAGCACAATATTCATAATCTTAACTTTAATATTCGTTTAATAGGTTTCGCAACTTAGAAGCCCGAGTGACGATTTGAGACAAGTTACAGCCAGCGTTTTGCGTAATCTTTCATGGAGAGCCGACAGCAGCAGCAAAAAGACGTACGATCATACATATTTTATTTTGCTAATCAAACTGTCTCCTACTTAAAAAAAATTTGTGCAACTTGAATAGTATAAAATTTAATCTGACATTTCATTTTCTTATGAAAATAGTTTGCGAGAAACTGGAGCTGTCGTTTGTTTGATGAAAGCTGCAATGGAAGGACGCAAAGAATCGACTCTCAAGTCCATTTTATCGGCTCTTTGGAACCTTTCGGCTCACTGCAGGGTCAACAAAGTCGACATTTGTGGTGTCGAAGGCGCTCTGGCATTTTTGGTTGATATGTTGACTTATAACGCTCCTTCAAAAACATTGGCGATCGTGGAGAATGCTGGCGGAATATTAAGAAATGTATCGAGTTACATAGCCGTTAGAGACGATTATCGCGCCATAGTGAGAGAACGCGGTTGTCTCCAAGTTAGTACTTTCTAACTGATCCCCATTTGAATTTTTTACACCAAGCATCTCTGATATATGATACATATAAATGCAAATAATAAAATACTTTTCACAGGTTTTACTAGCACAGTTAAAATCTCCCAGTTTAACAATAGTTAGTAATGCTTGTGGTACGCTATGGAATCTCTCGGCGCGATGTCCTCAAGATCAACGCCTACTTTGGGATCTCGGAGCTGTTCCCATGTTACGAAGTCTTGTCCATTCAAAGCATAAAATGATATCGATGGGTTCAAGTGCTGCTTTGAAGAATCTTTTTAGTGCTTGCCCAAATGCAAGTAACCTCGTGCATATGGATTCAACAGCGAGAGGTCTTGGACTTCCTACTTTACCTAGTCTAGCAGCTCGAAAGTAATAATAATTTAATATACTACAATACCATTTTTATCTTTTAGTTATGTTTGTTCTTTGTAGTATTGTTGGTATCACTTTAAACGTAAACATATAAATTTGCAGACAAAAAGCTCTTGAGCAGGAGATTGATCAAAGTTTAGCAGAAACTTGTGACAATATTGAGCCAAGCAACTCGCCTACAAGCAAAGAAGATAAATTTTCTTTTAAGTTAGACCAAAGCTATGCTGCATCTAATAGAACCGGGAAATCCGCAAACCATCGCCGGACACATAATTCAAGTCAACAAGCAGGTTCTTCAGCTCATAAGCTGTCTTTGAATTTTCCTCGCAGTGAAAGTAGAGAATCCATGCGCTCCGTCACTAGCACGCAATCTGATACCGTTTTTGAAAAAGTTAATCGTCAAGCGCGGCACAGTATGATGCCTTCCGAGTCGCACAATAAACAACAATCTACGTCTTTACATTCGGCGATGGATTATACTTCTGCCATTGCAGCTCCTGAATCTTCGAAAGGTTTTGTGTACCACTTTTATTACAATTAAAGATGTTTCTAAGTTTTTGTTTTTTCTCAAAGTTTCATACATTTCAGGACTTGCCGAAAAAAAATACACTCTCCGCTACATGAATGCTATTCCAGAACGTTTAAAGCCTGGCGAACCATTACCGGACTTGCGTGGCTTGAATTCTTGTAATTCAACCATATCATGGACCGTAACTCCAAATCAAGATGCTACGGCCTCAAACGGATTTCTGCACTCGTCGGTTGAAAATAATTTAGCGATTTCAAACTCTTGCGATCAATTATCATCGAATTCTAAAGTATTTTCGAATTCTGAATCTGAAAGCTTTCGCAATTCTGTCAGTTCTAAATCTAAATCGGCATCTACATCCAATAATGGCATGAATTATGGTACATATCGAAAAGGCAGCAAAAAAATCGCATCTCCAATTAGGGATGATTTGCCAAAGAATCATCCTCCAATGAATTTTGGCAACCTTTTAATGAAACATTCAGAGGAAACTCCTATGAAATATGAACAAAATCCGGAGCCAGAACGATCGGAAACAAAACCAAAAATTCCCGAAGCTAAACAAGAAGTTTTGTTAAATTTCAATTGTACCAGTAAACAAAATAATTTTGACCTACAATCGCAGAACGATGTATTAACTTCAAAAGCCGATTCTCTTCGTTCTACTACCCCTTCTCGTAAGTATTCATTAAAATTATCATGCCCTTGCAAATAAGTAGCCATATTGTTGAAAAAATTTTTTTTCTTTCTCTATAGTAGAGAGTATGCCAACATTAGAAGCGTGTAATTCTTTGGATAGTGACAGTGCTATTTTTGAAGAAGACCGCAATTCTGAGCGAAATTTGAAAATTTCAAATTTCAGCTTACCAATTGGAAATTCATGTAGTACACAGTTACTTCAAGATTCCAAAACAGAAAAAAATGAAAAAGCCTGTTTGAAAACTAATAGGTAAGTAAATAGATAAATATTTTTTAAAGATCATACAAAGATGTTACATACATTTTATTATTAATAATGGTTATGGATTTTTTTTTAAAGATTGGAGCATACTACTAAAAAAACGGATCACATAAAGTCACCGGAACTAGAACAGCAATTGCAAGACGACGATGATTTTAGCGAAGTAACGCATACTAATGATTATTACACGGTACAAGAAACTTATACTCTTGAAAAGAAAATCCAAAACGACAGTCAAAATACTTTTGTAAATGACGAATGTAGTATATCCCAACAATGCTCTTCGACACTTAGTTACATTTCTGTAGATGATGAGAATTCTTTGGCCGAAGTTGCTGATAAAAATCTAGTTGAGCCTTCTGATATCAAAAGCGACAATCAACCGGTTACCTCTTCGAGCTCGGAAAATTTTGAATCTTTTAACTCCATTGAAAGGTCAGAGCAAGCTCTTTTGGAGTTGTGTATCAAGACTGGAATGTCAAAGGCGGAAACTATGCTGTCGGTTAACGTTTCGAGGGATGAAAAATCAAAATCAAGTGACGCTGTTGACGCTTTACACAAACAAATGATTTCTGCAAATAACTCTGATTCCACTCGTGAGCCCATCCCGCAACAAATGGTAATATATCATTTTAATTATCCAGTATTAAGTAATGTTTCACACAATAATTTACGCTTGTACTTGTTAGGAGGGAGAATTAACGAACAAAAGTCAGAAGCAGGAAGAATATCGGAGACAGCAAGATGTAGATGCAGCAATAGCATCTGTCGATCGATTAACAGCTGCATTTATTCAACAAAGTGAAGCAATTCGTATGAAGGAGAGTCTGTTGAGCGAATACACGTGGAATGATGAAGATTCACCTAACGAAGTGTCGTTTCCCAGCATAAGCCTAAGCGTACCACAAGTAGCTTCATTCAAAAGTGATCTAGATTCAAATAATCAGAGTATCACACTAGCCTCTTTAGAGCCTTTTGCGATGGAAGAGCACTCCTCATGCGCTTTTCAATGCTCAAGCAATGATTCTATGACAGAATCGAAAATCATCGAAATGGAAGCCATCAAGCTTGCAAAGGCTGTTGTTAATGTTGACCCGAATCAAGTTAGCTTGGCATCTATTAATCTTGATGAAATTAATCCCCCTTCGACAATGGGTAGTCTTATCTCTCTAACTGCTAGTATTGGTCTTACAGATAGTCATGTTGATAACTCTGGAGGTAGCCTTTAAAGTTAAAAAAATTTTTTTTTTTTTTTTTCTGCTTAAGCGCAACTGTACCTTTAATATTAATCATTTATGCTTATAGCAGAAAAGGATCAGCCAGATTCTCTTCCAGTTGTGTTGTCTTCATCTTGTGGTGGCCGGAAGAAATCTTTACCCATTGGAGTTGTCGCGCGACGTGCCTTGAGTCATGGACAAAATCGTACTGCTAGTCTAGAAAACCTTTTAAACGAATGCAACAGCGCCAATCATTCACAGCTGGATAATGTCAAGCCTCCATCTATAATGGATGAATTGTTGGATCTCGCGGATATGGAAAATAGTATGTTGAGTGTAGCGAGCATAACTTCCGAAATCGCAGATAGCAAAGATAATGATTCAGTCAGTTTGACCAATGGTGATATTAATTTCGATCTCATCAAACCAGTTGCCAATGTCTTGTCACTGACTTGCATGAAGTAAATATTATTATTTAAACAGTTTGAATGTTTTTGTAACCTTTTTTAACGATAAATTAATTTAACTTTCAATAGATACGCTAATGCCATGCAAGGAAGTGGGAGTAATAGCCTAAGCGAATGCTTAGAAAATATTAATCCTCCTTCTCTTTTTAACGAAGTTAATCAAATGGACGAGTCGACAATTGAATCTTCCACACGTTGCAATGATACAATGTGCAGCGATCTAGTAGACCTTGGTAGCGATAAAACTACGAAACTTTCATGTGCCCTAGATGAAAGAATCGAAGATGTTGCCAATGATACGGATTATGCTATCACACCGATTTCCAGTGAATGCTGCAGTTCTGTTGAGTCTACACCGAAGCGTCGCCTTTCGAAAAATCAATCAGGTATATTATTCACAGATCATACAAGTATACATTTGCTAATAACAAATCAGAAAGGTAATTTTTTATTTTATCATCAGGGCACTTAACACCAAAGCAAAAACGGCAGTTGGTCAAGGAAAGATATAAGACGTATACAATTGCAGCTGAGATAATTAAAAAGGAGCAAGAAGATTTAAAGAGACAAGAACAAGCCAATGCTAATAATGGAGAAAATACAATGAAATGTATGTCAGTATTAAAACTAACACCAAAACAACGCAGGCAGGAAGACAGAGCAAGATTCCAAACCCAGATTTTGGATAACTCGGTACTCAGCAAGCCTGTAAACAATGAAAGCACAGAGAACGAGACTCGAAAGTTTGAAGGGCCTAGTGAAGAAAAGTCAATTCCTGTTTTTAATGCTCCGACTCCGATAAAAAGTGGTATTCCCATGCTCAGAAAATTCTCCGTTAGTAATAGGACATACAAGATGAAACCAAACTCCGAGTCTCTAAGTTCGAACACCCCAACTAAATGTGATAATGTAATGATAAAAAACGAGTCCAAAGGCTCGGGGCCATTTTCCACCTCTAACGAATCGGAATTAAATCTCACGGTCCGTGAAGCCCACGAAAACGAGCTAATTGATCAAGAGGAGTCACTCTCGAACTCTCCCGATGCCAAAAGTCAAAACTTTATTGTCGATGTCCAGGACAATTTGTACGAAGCACGGAATCACTACTCGGAAAGCGATAATAATGATAGCGATGATTTGTCCGGTAACGAAGACGAAGGGGAGCATCAAAAACCTAAGGGGCCCCGAATCGTAAAACCGGGAACGCTTCGGCGTGATTTGAGCGTCGAGTCCAACAGTACTGACAAGTCCGAGCCAGAGCCTCTGGTTAAGGGAATCCGTGGCCGCAGAAAGCCTCTCTACTCCAAATCGAGTACCAGATGCTCGACGCCACAGAGCTCGCCTCTGAAGCAGATAGTAGCCGGGGTTTCTCCCGTTGCCATACCGCCCATTAGTCGCAGCAACAGTTCGCCCATCGTGCGAGCGACGAGAGCCACTACGCTTAGGCAGAACAACAGTGCCCAAAAGTGCAGCGGTGGATTGGTGTCGGACAGACGGGTTACGGGGGCTGCCGCGAACTCTCCGAGCCAAACTTCAAGCAGATTGCGCACCTCGATCCCGCAAAAGTCCCCTGCGGCTCCGAGCTCAGCCTCTGCCAGACGACAGGTGGACTATTCGCAGAAGCACTCGGAACTGCCCTTCAAAGCTTTGGAGAGACAAGGGACTTTTACCAAAGACGAGCCTGAAATGGATAATGTACCTACGGTCGTTCCAGCTTCGCCTTACAGAGGAAAGCCTACCGCGAAAACGGTTAAACCCGGTGAGTACTTGTTGCCTTTTTTTTCCATCTTGTACCTTATAATGCGTTTCCTTGTGGATCGTATAAATTAAAAAACTCGTTATTTTAGCTGGTAACGTGTCGCCAAAAACATCACCTGTTCACGGAAAGTCGAAAATTTCCCCTCGAAAATTACTTGCTCAAAGGTCCGTTGCGTCAGCCACGAAGCTTACAAAGACAACAAGCGTGGAAAAAATATCTGTTGGAACCAACATTCCAATTTTAGCGAAGCGCGCTTCGACAAATTTGTGTTCCCCGGTGGTAAAATCCTCGTCCAATTATCAAATCGGCAGCAATGCAGTTTCACTGGGTCAGCGATCGAATAGCAACTCCAGTATAGTCTCGAATCCTTCGAACCAAGCGAATCGTAAAGTCAAAGAAACTGCAAGTAAAATTGCCACTTTGTGGAAAAAAGTTGAAGACAGCAGAAAAAATCAGCGATACGAGAAACCCGACACGAGGCAATGGATTACGCCGAGTGCGCAAGTTCGCTCTCCTCGTGGCGAGAAAGATCAGACTTGCAATCTTTTTAGAAGTTCTACGTTTGAAGGCATTACGAAAATTTCAAAAGTCTCGAGTCGAGGTTTCATTTCACCGACCGCATAAAGTTAAACTTCCGGTCTTGAAAGCGTTTCCGTTTCGTCCCAGTGCAAATCTTATGAAATAAGACAGATTGTTAGTTTTTATTATTTATTGATTTTTTTTTATGCTTGACTCGATAAAATATAGTGTTCTCCATTATATTATCGTTTTCAAATTTCATGATTATTCACACATTTGTTATAATATTCTTGTACTCGAGTGGATGAAAATTTAAAAAATTTCTCGTTTTAAATTCATGAAAGGCGTTTTGTTCTTTCTATGTAAGTTACTACAACCAAAAAAAAATATAAATATATGTTTAAGGAATTTGCTCAAAATATTTATCGTATAAAATGAAAAGCTAATTAATGGCTAAACAATATGAATTACATATGAGTGGGAAATTGTGATTTATTTTAAGATTCACAGTCTTAATTAGATTTAAAAGTATTTAAAAAAGTTATTCTTAAGATTTTTTGATAATTGTGTTTGTTTGTTTTTTTTCTTTTTTTGTATGAGATACTGTAATTAAAGTGCTAGTTGAAATACAAACAAGTGTCAAAAGAAAATGTGATGATACTTTCGTTCCTTGACTTGGCTTTGCTTTAACCAATAACGATCCATCCAAGTCAAAGATCATATTTTAGATATATGACTGAGTAACGTTTTTCCACTAATATTTATTTTAACTGAATAATCTTTTTAAAAGTTAGTTTTGCGGCTTTCAGCCTTCTTGATCCTTGCTGCTTGGCAGCTCCTGCATGCGTGATGATTGGCAAATAGGCTGAAGAACCCGTATTCAGAAAAATGTGCAACGACCAGACGACGGATCCCTAGAGCTTGACTGCAGATAATTTTGAAATAATAAATAAATTTTTCATTCATCGCCAAATAATTAATTTTGTTTTATTTGAGTTATAATACCCATGATCTTCGACACACCTTTATCCCTGTGCCAGGATTTTCTTCACTTAACTAGGAAATCATGGGAAATCAGTCCTATAAGATCGAATTACTGTGTAAATCAATATTTTGTTACATTAATTTTTACCTATACGTAAAATTTGAAAAATAATTGCTCCAATGTTGAAACTTACTATGTTCTCTTGGTTTTTTTTTGGTATCAGCTACCTGGGAGCGACTGAGAAGTAAGGATCGAGCAAAGTTAAAAGCCGCAAAACTAACTATGCTGCTAAATCAAGTAATTTCTAGTAAGTAAGACGATTTTGTTCAATAATTTTCACTAAGTACTTGTTAAAAAACAAACTTTATTAATCATTTATGTACAAATATACAGTTATTCTGGATGCTCGTATAAATTAATGGCCTTATCCTCAGCAACAGACATAATTAAGTTATTTTTTGTAGGATGATACTTAACTCCCCATACCTGAAAGTAATATCTTCTTAAATATTTATGTAACAACTTTTTTTCAAATATTTAAGTTTCACGTTACCTGGTCAGTGTGCTCATGAAATGTGTGCAAACATTGTCTTTGAGATAATTCCCAAATTTTAACTGTATGATCAGAACTACTAGAAGCAAATTTTTGACCATCTGGAGCAAATGTTACACCAAGTACCCAAGAAGCATGGCCAGACATTGTTCCTGCTACATTGGCGTCTTTTCTGTAAAAGTGCAACATAATGAGTGAAATGCTATAAAATTCTTATAGCAAAAGGAATTTTTTAAACTTGAAAAATTATTATTTACATATCATATAACTTCATGTGTCCATCATCACTAGCTGTTAGAAGTAGTTGCGAATCGGGTGAAAAACATAAAGAACGTATTGGCATAGCATGACCTGGAGAATAGTTAAAGTGATACAATCGCACAATACATCGAGAATCAATTTATATCAGAAGTAATCATACAAAAAATTACCTTCTAAAGTTTGTAAGACTTTTCCATAGGCAACATCAAAAATATTTATGATACCATCAATGGCTCCACTCGCAATATATTTCCCATCTGGACTCTAAAAAATGTATGCAATCATGTCAAGTCATAGTTATTGAATTTAATAATATAATAATCGTTGATTCTCACATAAGCAACGCTAAGAGTGAATTTTCCTCCTCTTGTGTCCAAAGTTTGCTCTTGGCCTCCATTTTCGGCACTGTATAAATGAATTTTACCAGCATGACTACCAGACACAATATACTTATCATCTGGAGAGAAACACACTGTCCATATATCGACAGGACCAACTTCAGTGCTAGCTATTTTTTCTCCTGATTCCAAATCCCATACTCGCAAGCTTGAATCCAAGGAACTGGAAGCACATTCTAAAATAAAAATCAAGTGTTTGTTAGACTCCAATCATTATGTGCTTCTTCATGAGACAAAGGTATAAAATGAATCTTACTGGACCCATCAGAATTCACAGCAACAGACACAACACCCAAGGAATGACCAGTAAGTTTGTGCTTAAGTTTTAAGCTTCCATTTTTGTGTTCCCAAACTTTAACTGTATCGTCTACTGAACCAGTGATTACATACTCGGGATCGTCTTCATTAGATTGCATGGAATCTCTGTAAAATAATTATCATTATTACCCTTCATGAAATAACACAAAAGAAAGATAGATTGACAATAGATTCAAGTACCTGGAGTCTTCGTTCTCTACTAGCGTTTCTTTCTTCTTTTTTGGGCAACCCCATGCACAAGTCCAAATGCTATCTTCATGAGCATTTTCAGTTTTATGAATCAAAGAGAACTAGGAATCATAATATGTACACACATTAGTGTAAGATAAACATTCAAGTAGTTTATACTTTAACTTGGAAAGAAAAAAATATTCACCATTATCTCGGAACTAGTTTTTTATCGATGTTGAACTCCAACATAAATAGGTATTTTTTACCTATGAGAGCAGTACATGAATTAATGTGAAAAATTTGTTTTTGAAAATAGTAACCTTATCCAAGGAGCATTTAACAACTTCGCGTAACCTGAGAGTATTAATTAGGTAATTTATTAAACTATAAGATCATAAGTTTAACAATTACAATTTCAAATGGTTCTGTTTTAATAAAAGATACTGTAAAAAAAAATTGAATAGAAAAGACCTTTTTTGGAATGAGTACCGGTATAACTTACGCACCGTGTATATCCACGTAATTACGTTATAATTTATAATATTACGTATAACTTATGTTACGAGCACAGAGTTACAGTTGACGTTGCTTAAGTTTTTAGAAATTATATATTAAGTATACCTATAAGTACACAAAACTTCAATTTCACAGTAAAATGTGACTCAAAGTTACATTTGGTACGATCAGTCCACCTCTAGCTTGCCATGTTGTTAGACTTGTTAGTTGTTTGTTGACTGATTTAAAGTGTATCAGCGTCATCTAGCGTTTCGGATTTCGCGGACGTATACGCAAACTATTTTTTAGGGGAACCGTCTTGAAAAAGTCCCTAGATTCTAGTGTTTTTCGGAAGAAGTTAGAAGTAAATCTGAAATGCTAGATGGCGCTGATACACTCTCTATACGCGATGACAAATATGACAATAGACAAACTGCGCTATGGCTGTACAACTTCAAAGTTTTGCCAATAAAAAATTTTAAAATTGAATTGACAATTGACAATACGTACCGCACATACCCACATTTACCAGAATCTCTGGCGTTTACTGGGTTGTTATAGTTTTTCTCTGCAAATGTAGCCGTACCTTGTGCTTGTTTATATTTTTTAGTTGGACGTCGTCTGCTCACCTAAATGCATGCATCATGTTGATGTTCGAGTGAAAGTTAATTTGTTGTTAATTAATTTATTATTAATTGGTCATGCTGATGCCATATATTTTGTAAACATGAATTCAAAGATGCTGTTGTGTAAAGTGTTATTTAGGCCGTTTACATTCAGGACTACGTTAGAGAGGAGGTAAATTTTATAACATCAATTATGTTTTTAAATAGGTAATTAATCAGTGATATGCTTTTTTCCAGATACCTCAGAGTGTTGCTCGCAAGCACTTACTCAACGGGGAAGGGCGAGTTAAAAGACTACGAGATCCCGGTAAAAAAGATCCGTAATTTCAGTATCATAGCTCACGTGGATCATGGCAAGAGTACCTTGGCTGATAGGCTTTTGGAAATGACGGGAGCCATCAAAACGAATTCCGGAATGCAGGTGTTGGATAAGCTGCAGGTGGAAAAGGAGCGTGGAATAACAGTGAAGGCCCAGACAGCCTCGCTCAAGTATATGCTTGATGGCGAGGAATACCTGCTTAATTTGATTGACACGCCTGGGCACGTTGACTTTGCGTCCGAGGTTTACCGTTCCTTGGCAGCTTGTCAGGGTGTTATATTGCTAGTCGACGCGAACGATGGTGTACAAGCTCAGACGGTGGCCAACTTTTATCTTGCCTTTGGCAACGACCTCACGATTATTCCCGTGATTAATAAAATCGACCTGAAGAATGCTAATCCCGAAAGGGTCGTTAACCAGTTGGCTAATCTATTTGACATCGAGGAAAACGAGATCCTTAAAATATCTGCTAAAAATGGTACAAATGTGGATCAGGTCCTAAAAGCCATTGTCATGAGAATACCTGAGCCTCCGGCTATTAGGGATAAACCATTGAAAGCGCTTATTTTTGATAGCTGGTACGACCGTTACAAAGGGGCGGTTAATTTGATTTATGTTAAGGATGGAATTATTAATGTCGGTGATCAGATTTCGTGCTATCACACTGAAAAATCTTACGAAGTTAAATCATTGTCATTCTTGAGACCAGATGAGGAGAAGGTTCAAAAAATGTAACGTATTCAAACACGTACGTTTTTAATAATAAAAACTTAAAAGTTACATTTTCGACCTAGATACGCGGGACAAGTAGGCTGCCTTACTTGCAACATGAAATCCAGTGATGCACAGATAGGAGATACAATTCATCTGAAAAATATGCGTGTGGAACCACTTCCTGGATTTAAAATCGCAAAATCAATGGTTTACGCTGGCGTGTATCCCATGGATCAGTCGCAATATTTGTCTCTTAAAAGTGCTATCAACAGATTGACTTTAAATGATAATGCAGTAACAGTTATTGACGAATCCAGGTAAAATGTTACATTTTGTATGTATTTCGTTTACAATACTTGAAGCTTGAACTGAAATTCGTTATAAATTACAACTATTAGTACTTGATGAGTTATTAAAAATTTGTTACATTTTTCAAGTCCAGCATTAGGACAAGGTTGGCGCCTTGGTTTTCTTGGGCTTTTACATATGGAAGTATTTTGTCAACGTCTCGACCAAGAGTACGATGCTCAATCAATTCTTACCGCACCAGGAGTTACATATAGAGCAATAATTACATTGAACAACAAAAAGATTGACAAAAACAAAAGCAATGAAGTTTATTTTAGTAATCCATCCCATTTTCCCAATCCACAAATAATTGAAAAAATCTATGAACCACTAGTATTGGGAACCATTATAACACCAGGTATCGTAAAATTTTTTAATCAAATACATTTAAAACCACTTGTCTAAGATAATAAAAAAAATTTGAATTTGTGCTTTATATATAGATACTTACATGGGACCTATTATGTCTCTATGCTTGGATAGAAGAGGTATAGAAAAACTAACAAAAAGCATAGATAGTCATAGAATAATGATTCAGTTTATCTTACCTCTTAATGAAATAATTGTTGATTTTCACGATGAACTTAAATCATTAAGTTCCGGATATGCAAGCTTTGACTACGAGGACTATGGCTATGAACTATCCAATATAGTAAAAGTAAACAATAAAATTCAAATACATTATATTACGGATTTTCAAACAGATCAAACAATTAATTTTTTATGGAATGATTGTAGATGGACATATTATTGAACGGAAATGTGGTCGAAGAGTTAAGTACATTAGTTCACTGTACTAAAGCAACAGAGAAAGCAAAACGAATGTGTACAAAATTATTGGATATAATACCTCGGCAACAATTTCTTATTGCGATCCAAGCTTGCGTAGGGAGTAAAGTTCTTGCAAGAGAAAATCTAAAACCTTACAGAAAAGATGTTACAGCCAAATTGGTATTATTAAAAGAAGTTTATCACCATTTGAATTTAAATATGTTAAAGAGATTTTATTTAAATTTTTGTTGACTGATTTAAAGTGTATCAGCGTCATCTAGCGTTTCGGATTTCGCGGACGTATACGCAAACTATTTTTTAGGGGAACCGTCTTGAAAAAGTCCCTAGATTCTAGTGTTTTTCGGAAGAAGTTAGAAGTAAATCTGAAATGCTAGATGGCGCTGATACACTCTCTATACGCGATGACAAATATGACAATAGACAAACTGCGCTATGGCTGTACAACTTCAAAGTTTTGCCAATAAAAAATTTTAAAATTGAATTGACAATTGACAATACGTACCCCACATACCCACATTTACCAAAGTATTTGGCGCTTACCGGTTTGTTGTAGTTTTTTCCTGCAAACGTAGCCTTGCCGCTTGCCCAACTCTAAAAAACATAAACACNGTTTTCATCGAAATAATATCCTTTTTGTTTATCTATTTTTAGATATATTTAAATATGAAAAAATTTTCGTGCGTTTTATTTTTCTTTTTGGGCGTTATGGAATATAATCATTCAAAAAAATTTGCAAAAAAAAAAACACTGTTACAAACCGAATGGATTTCAATCCAGTTCGCATATTCGCGGTGGTGTGCCCAATGAGAGAAATTTGGCCAATCGACGCTAAAATATTTTTATCACTCCATTTCAAAATTTCTGTTCAGTCACTAACGCGTCGTTAAGTGCTTGATCAAAAGTTAATACGCGCGAGAAGGATTTAAGAAGCGACTTTGTCTTGTGTGTGTATTGTTTAAAAAACAAATTAATGGGAGGGAGGACATGAAGGACAAGACTAAAGTCTTGTTCGAACGTGCATACAAAAACTAACTGTCGTTTTTTGGAGTAGTACTCGTGGCGTAAGCCGTCACATGGCACATAAATCATTTAAACGTCTTTATTTTTAAATCACAGTTTTGATTCTAAGAAAAATTAAAATAATAAGGTATACAAACGTCAGGAGAAATGTTTGAGTTTTGAGTAATTACAAGCAGTGAACGACATTTGACTTACACCCCAAAATAATGAATGTTTTATGAAATAAGGAATAATCGAGATTCATAATTTATGAACTTGTATATATTCATATTAAAATAATCGCGAATGGATTTGTTACATAAACGTACTTTGTAAGACATGATTTCATTGCAATTTTAGTTAAAAATGATGTTGCTTTACATTATAAAATAATACATTTGATATAGTTTCTTTGGTTCTAGCAAAAATTAAAATAGTTTAATGAAAACCTGACGACAACAATGACGCTTTTAATGTATCGCTCATATGCTTTTCTTCAAATCGAATCGTTATCATTTCAGAAATGTATAAATACATATAAAATATTACTGAAACAGTCAAGAAAAATTCGTCGCATTTCTGTGATAAGCTTAAATTTAATACTCCTAATGATGATAGTAATAATTATCATGATGTATAATATTGTTTGTAATCATAAGTTTTTGTCTATAATTGCTTTAAAAAATCTACGACATTGTTAAAAACCGACAATGCAGCAGAGTCTGCAAATTTTATATAAAACCATATTTTTTTAATCATACATACATTAAATTGGTGGGCTCAAGTGGTGTTTATTTTTTGTTACTTTTTATCGATTTTGTTATGGTTAAAATTTTAGAAAAAGCCATTGTTTAATTAAACTCAAGTCAAAACTTGAAGAAGTCTCTTTAGTTTTTTTGTATTTTATTGATCTCACTTGATATAAAATAATACTAAAATCACTAATTGACATCGTCGCCAGATATGCATAAGATAAAACTGCTAAAATTGCATTTAGATCGCTCGAAAATCAATTGTACTAAATACTCGTATGTTCAATGACTTGATGGTACATGTGAATCTTTTCGAAATTTAAAAAACATCGCATATTTCGTATATACGCACTTCATATTTTAGACTTGAAAAGTTTTATCATGGAAAAAACACTTTGACACAAGTACAATCGTATTATAATTATTCTATGCACAATTTCGTGAGCGTAACTATAAACGCATTTTTATCCAGAGAAATCGACCACAAAAATTTACGAAAAACCACTACGAGAGTCGAGCATAGTAAGATGAATTGTTAATTATTTTCATTCACAATTTTATAATTATTTTTCTTATCAGCAAAGTGATTCACGTACGTAATAATTTTCGATGAATATGAACAACAGCTTGAATTGGCTGAAAAAACTTGAAAGAAATTTAGAAAGAAATTAAATCATCTAATTGAGAAGTTTTAATTAATTTTTCAGTAAGTATACTCACAAAAAACACGTTATCGAAATTTTGAAAAAAAAAAAAAAAAAAAAAAAAAAAT